GTGGTGGGTTGAGCTAACCCTCTTCCCCACTGTTTGTATTTGGTCGTAGGAGCTGGAGTGGGCAAATTATTTACTTGGAGGTCTTTCTTTCTTTTACCTTTGTTATCAGACACAACGCAGAATCACACCGGTTACATTTGGTCCGGCTTTACAAAGTGTGAAAGTCAGTTTGTGTTTTTCAGTGCTGGACCCCGACGTTACAGGACAGTTAGAAATGTTTCTCATGATGATGTTTTTATCGTAAAGATGTAAAATACTGAAGATCAGCCATAAACACTGAGCTGGAAACTCTAACGTAGACTTGCTGTGAAAGGTTTCACTGCTCTCTAAAATAAATAAATATTTTAATAAGAATATTACGTCTGGTAAAATTTGAAGGAAGAAGGATTTACACCTCAGTCGTTGTTTAAACCCTGAACCTGATGTGCACCTGCACGCTGCCGTTTGCTGTTACAGATGTTCAGCCACCTCTGCCATGCTTTATGTAATCAACTGGAGGAGAAACCTCTCCTGCAGTGAGTGTTTAGAGCTTTATTTTTTCCTTCTTCACTCACAGAAATCCTGATATGTAGCAGAATCTCTGTATCACGTCGCCGCCCTGCAGGCCGAGCGCGCTCCTGCCTCTGTGGTGGAGGTAATGAGCAGAAACAGACACTGATGTGAAATTTCACACACTTTTAATGTATTTATTATTCTGGCTCGTTCCATAAGGGATGCTATGTAATCTGTAATAATCTGGAGCTGGTACTGTTAGAGTCACTCGTGTGTCGCCGAGCGTCATCGACTTCCTCTGGCTGTCACGCTCGTCTCTTCTGCTGTGAACACCGTGTTTAGAGCTGTAGTTAATCCTTATGTCTTGGATGTCTGACTGTCCATGAACGCACCAGAAGACCTGGTGAGTTAATCTGTCGCGCGAGCTGATGGGCGATTTGGGAAATGACGGTCCGGTCCTTTAATTTAAACACGATGCATGCTCGCCGTCTTTACTTCTTCTTGATGAACTTCCTGCGGGTGGCGTTGGGGTTGGCCCGCCTCCTGCCGCCGCCACACTGGCTGTCTCTGATCTGCAGGTTGGCGGCTCGGCTGTAGATGTCGTTCTCGCAGAACGGCGACGCTCCGGCCACGTAGTCCGGGTTGAAGACGTCGGTCTTCTGGCGAGCCTTCCGGGAGAGCCTCTGCTGGGGGAAGCGCTGGTCCTCCACCAGGTGGGGGTTGGTGGAGTGTTTCCCCCCCTGAGGCAGAGGCAGCGTGTGCTGAAACACAAGAC